TGTTTGGAAGGGTTGATAAAAAATTTTTTATTTAAGCGATTTTTGGAATATTTCTTTAACACGGTTTCCACTTGCACGATCATTTTAAGAAAGAGTTTAAAAATTTCTACTTTTAAATAAAAATAATAAAATTTATTAAAAATGTATAATGTAAAAATGTTTATATATGTATATATATTTATTTGTAACATTTGGTCTATTCAAAACACAAAATTCGTATCTCCTAAATAAACCATATTTTATTGATCCTTTATATATAGGTTTTGATGTATAGAAGAAAAACGTGTTTCAGATTTGAGTTCAGCAGCCTCAAATTGATCTCCAGCCGTTGAGAAATTAAAAAACAAAATTAAGTATCGCACAGTGTTAATAAAAAGAGAGCTAAAATTGTTATCTTATTATCTTAGATAAAAATGATTATGTAGTGCCTGTAAAGCAAATCTAAATACTTCAAGATCTATCGAGTAAATATTTGTTTTCTTTCAATAGTTTTTGTGTCTTTTTTTCCAAAAAACTGTAACTTTTAAAAGACTGGTAACTATCTTTTCAAAGGTATGGAAAGGTAGTTAAAGCCGTATTGCAATAGGTCTACCTTTAAATAATTATAGTATGGTCACCCTATGTGAAAAGACATTCGTAAGTCTGAACCTTTTAAATATATTTAAGAAAATGAAAATTTTTGTTTAAATTGTATCGTCTACCCTTCTAATATTATTTTAAAAACAGACCAGTGATATCCAAAAAAAAGCATTTATAAATACATGTTGCGCCCCAATGCGTCGATAATATCTATATTATAAGCTATTAAAAACAATTTAGTAGAAGTTTTTTTGTACTTTAAAAAATTAAATCAAAAATTTTTAGTTGCCATTAAACAATAAAAATGAAGAGTATAAATTTCGGACGAATTTTAAAAACTACAAATTATTTTTTATTTTTTTGTATATATCACATACATATATACAATGCAAAAACATATCGATATCGTCTTACGCTCTTTGGTGTACTGCATTTTCTTCTAGTAACACTGATATATGCAATATCTTTTAATCAACATTTTGAGACGTCTCCAGTATTAGAGTTCTTAGATGTGGTATCGCCATTTTTGAGACGACTAACCCAACTACAATTACTTTTTGGATTAAAAATATTTTTATATAATATATATGAAATGCGAATGGTTAATCGTGTCACCAATGGAGTTGCAGAAATGCTTTCTTCTATAAAACTGAAAACAACTCTAACATATTGGAAAGAATTCATTTCTTACAGTTTACTATTTTCAACATTTTTGTTATCTATTGGATTTGGTTTATATATAGCCTATGAAATGGAATTCATATTGCCACCATTGGATCACATACTTGTAGGAGTTGCGTTATTTATTCCGCATTTTATGTTAGCAGGGGCCGTTAGATATTTTACAGTTGGGCAATGGTTATTTCGTGAAACACTACATACAGTGGAAATTGACTTTAATGAAGTAACAACGTTTGATATTAATATCAAAAAGTCAGGTTCCCTGGAGACTTTTGTTAATAATAATACAAAGTCAGATAGAGACTTTACAGTAATTAATACAACTAATTTAACAAATGTCCACGATTCCATATACTTGATAAGCATTGAACTTAAAAATATCGCTGAAAAACAAAAACTCTTTAAAAATGTTTTACAAAAACAACTATTAATGTTAGTTGTATTGAATAGTAATTGTCTATTAGCTGAAGTATATTCCATTATCTATTTCAAGACCTACTGGTATATCATGTTCGGAGAACGTGCGGAACGTGCATTTTATGCTGCCATTTATGGGATTTTTGTGTTTATTGTTTGCGATTATATATGTATATTGTTTTCCGAAATATCTTTCAATAATGTGGTAAATATATAGTACGGTTGGATTAATAAAACATATTTCTTTCGTGGTAACTACTTATTTATTCTAATCTTTTAACTTTATTCTAATTTTCAGAGAAGAAGCTTTAGCAATAACGTATATACAATTTTAAAGGACTGTAACAAATTTAGCAAAAATACACGTCACATATTAAAAGATATATATGGCATACTGAAAAAAGATCTCAATTTCAAATATATGAAAATCTTAAATTTTGTATTAGTAAGTGTATTCAAATATATAATATTAAAATATTTATGATTTCAATTCTCCTCTACAGTTGCAGTTTCTTATCACTTTAGTTATTTCTATTATAGTTATTTATCAATATTTAAATGATAAAATAAAGTTGCTGGATGATCGCATTGATGGATCTAATAGTGTGGAAGAGGAATAAAAAAATTAGCTGGAATTAATTTTAAAATAAAATTAAAATTGATATGAGAACTAAGGTGAATGTTATGTATTCTGCAATAAAAAAATGCGAATTTATAATACTCAAATTTTCTTTTAATATACATTTTAGTTACTATATATATTTGAAAACTTTACATTAAACGTTAGTATCTAAATTATCTCTGATTTTTATTAAATATACTTTACATATACTTAAAAACTTTTCAAATAATACTCTCTCTAAAACACATATTTTTACAGATTTAGACGTCAGTCTTTAGTTTTTATTCAGTTTCATTATTTTTATTCAGTTTTTATTAAATAAACTTTATATACACTTAAAAACTTTAGATTCATATAAAATAACGCTCTATCCATAACATATATTTTTACAGATTTAGATGTAAGTCTTTAAATTATGTCTGATGGTTTGAAATAAATTATGAACCAGACTCTTTATTTTTCTATTAATCTTCATAAGTGTGTAACATTTAAAAAGTTTTTTCTTTTTTCTTGATAAGTATTAAAAAATGTATGCAAGTAACTTGTAATTGACTTTTAACCCAATTTAAGTACTAAAAATGTATTTCATGTACTAATACAGGGCAGTCCAAAGCACAGCCCGCAGACCGCATATTTTTGTCGAAAACAACTTTAAACGTATGTATTTATTTCTGCGGCTCTCCAATCTGTACAATAATTTGTATTAACAGGTGGTCGCATCTGGTCTGGGCAGCCCTGTACTAATATATATAAAATGCGATACAAATATGTATGATTTTGACAGGGGTCATCAAAACACACACCTACATTGATTTAATAAATGACGATTAATAGCGTGCCATTTACACGTCAAATTTGTTATCCAAGAAATTCATGTAAAAATTTGCAACTTTAAAATCCAATATTTCTAGAATCAAAACTTATTTGTATAGATTTTACAAAAATCGTTATAAAACCGAAATGTCTCGGATATCGTATTAGTTCAACTTTATTTGTACACGTTAAATAAAAATTATGTACAAGCACGCTTACAACACTAAAATGTTGCAAAAATTTTTGTGATGTGGTAGCACTCTTTTTTGACAGCACATTTGAGGAAAAAAAAAATAAACTAGACGCTAAGAAGGCCGCAGTACTAAAGAATTTTTGGGATTTTTGTAAATTTAATAATAATTGTGTGAAAACTATTATAATACATAACAAATATGAGCACCGGAAATATGTTATATGGTGGTGATGAAATAGGGGCATTGGTATTTGATCCGGGACATCATTCTTTACGAGTCGGTTATGCACAAGAAGATACGCCGAAGGCTGAGATACCTTCAGTAGTAGGTGTTGGACCTAATGACTCTCCAACAAATATGGATTTAGAAACCAAAACAGACAATAATATAACACCAAATCGTAAGTTTCTCATATGTTGAATTAAATAATGTATTTAACTAATATTTTGTACACTTTAGATGCTGACACACGTAAATATTATGTGGATACAACCTACGTAAATGTGCCGCGCTCGAATATGGAAATACAATCATATATGAAAGATGGCATGATTGATAATTGGGATTTATTTGAAAAAGTTATTGATTATGCGTACGCGAAAGTAATACAGTCTGAGCCAGAATATCATCCGGTTTTATTTTCCGAAGCTTCGTGGAATGTACGTAACAATAGAGAAAAATTGACAGAATTAATGTTTGAAAAATATAATGTACCCGCATTCTTTTTGGTAAAAAATTCCGTTCTGGCAGCATTTGCTAGCGGACGTGCAACAGCATTGGTAGTTGATAGTGGAGCTACACATACTTCCGCTGTACCAGTACATGAAGGTTATGTACTATCGCAAGCGGTCGTTAAATCACCACTCGGTGGCGATTATTTATCATTACAATGTCGTACACTTTTAGAGAAACAAAATATCGACCTAACTCCTGTGTACAAAATTGCATCTAAAGATGTCGTGAAAGAAAGAGATGCTGCGAGATTTGTCACACGTAATTTACCAGAAAATTTAACAACTTCATGGCAAAATTATATGGTTAAATTGATGATGCAAGATTTTCAAGTGAATGTTCTACAGGTCTTGGAAAATCCATACGATGAACGTGTTGCTTCACAAATACCAACAGTTCATTATGAATTTCCAAATGGCTATCACCAAGAATTCGGTTCTGAACGTTTTAAATTGGCTGAATGTCTATTCGACAATGCTATGCTAGGAGCTGGTCAGTTGGCTTCAACAAGTGTAGGAATGTGTGATGCAGATGTCAGATTGTCTTTATATGGTTCCGTTGTTGTAACAGGTAAGTGTAATGAATAATAACAGTTCCGAATAGTTAAAAATTTTTTGTTTTTACTTTCCAAAGGTGGTAATACTCTACTGCAAGGTTTTCCAGAACGTCTTAATCGCGATTTACAACTACGCGCACCCTCCAATACTCGACTTAAAATGATTTCTGCGAATGGTAGTGTGGAGAGACGTTTCGGCGCATGGATAGGTGGTTCAATACTGGCTAGTATTGGTACATTCCAACAGATGTGGATATCGTCACAAGAATACGAAGAATCGGGTAAAAGTCAGGTTGAAAGAAAATGTCCATGAAAATGTGTCTATGTAAAAATGAACATTTTTTGTATGCTGCTAATTTATACTTCCTATCTATGCATTAAAAACATTAAAAAACAAATATTAATATAAAAAAGGCTATTTATTTATTAAAAAATATACAAAACATTTGTAGACTATTAATGAGCTTATTAATCAACAAGTTGTCTAAAATAGAGATTCTGTAAAAAATTTATTAATATATAATTAAAGGCTATGAGTAAGTGGAAATCTGTGAAATCTGTTACCTACATGCTTATGTCATCCTGCCAAACCGGGTTGGTGTGTGTTTTTTGTTGCTATTCAGGTGTTAACAAATTGTTAGCGACAAGATTCTGTAAAAAGAAATGTGTTTATATATATATATATATGTGCATAGACACTATTAATCAAAGTATTCTTTACTTGAGCTTCCTGTATATCGTTTGCCCAATCTTGTTTGGGTATATTCTCTATTGTCTTTAGCAATAAGCCTGTAACTTTCTGTATATTCTTTGCAAAGACTTCTAGTACACTTTGAGCACTAACATGGTCGGTATCATCTCGCCATGAATCATAGTCAGTTGCTATAGCTACTGCGCCATATAGCAAACCTGCCTCCTTAGCTAATATCACTTCTGGTACCATGGTCATATTGACTAAATGTCCTCCAGCCTGTTTTACCCAATTACTTTCGGCGCGCGAAGAATAACGTGGGCCCTCGATGACCACTACAGTAGCACCATCGTGTACACTTATACCCAACTCACAGGCAGTTTTTAAAAGTATTTGTCGCATTGGTTCACTAAATATTGGATACATAGGTAAATGACAGATTCCCTTAGCGGCCTTTTTGCTGCCATCGAAGAATGTTTGTTGTCGTTTCGTCGTACGATCAAGAAAATCACTTGGAATTACCAAATCGCCACGTTTATAATTTTCACACAGACTCCCACAAGCAAAGGATGCAAGCACATGTGTGCAACCAACTTTCTTTAAGGCACATATATTGGCTCGGTAGTTGACATTTCCCGGCATTGTTGAGTGTTTTCGTCCGTGTCTAGCTAGTAACGCACACTTTTGTTTACCTACAGTACCTTCAATGATTTTGTCAGATGGAGGACCAAATATTGTACTAACTACTTTCTCCTGCCGATTTTCCATTATATCAGGATTGTCAAGACCAGATCCACCTATAATTCCTACCTAAAAGTCAGTCAAGTGAATTGTTAGATTAGGACTCTCAAAATATAACAGTAAAATACTGATATCCAAATCATTTTATATAAACACCAGGCAGGCACATATTATCTTTACGCTTTAGTTTGATTTTAATACATTAGATATGAATATTTTACCTTTATCGGTACTTTTTTGCTGTCAGAATGTATAAATTTGCTTAATACCACCCCGAAATTTTTTGGATCAAATGTTGTTTTTGCAAAACAAGACCAAAAACCCATTGCAATGGAATAATTTAGAAGGGAGCGCGAAAAACCTAAAGATATCAAACCAGCAAATATGTTTTTAGTTTCATATTTTATTAAAGACCACAAAAAATTGTTTTTTTTTGACATATAAATTCATTTTACTTCGTTTTTATTTTCATTTAAAATTTGTGCTTAAAATTGCTAAGGTTGCCTTTTTATTTTTTTTGTCGCTGCGTCCCGTGCATCCTGCGCGGCGCTTAACGGCACGTCGTTTTTGCAGACGATAGCGTAGCAAAGAATGCTTACGTTGTGCTAAGGACGTTGGTTTTTTTTGTTCTTTTTGGAGTGCAGGTAGATCATATAATATCAAAATGCAATGAACTTTTGGTGTAAGATTCATATTAGGATTTCGTAACATTTTATTTGCTGATTTATTCTTTATTATTGTGTCTTTAGTAATTTTGGTGCATAGTGTTAAAAAGCGTCACATGTCAGCGGACATCGTGTTTTTACAGACGCATTGCTATTGATAAAAATAAAAAATTTTAATATAAATGCGATTATAAATAATTGAGAAATAAACTTACATTTGCGCTTTCTATCTCTTCACTCCAATCTTCTTTGGCAATATTCTCCACAGCTTTTGTAAGAATTTTTTTAATTTTAACAACATTTTCTGCGAATGTTTTAAGTACTTCCTCCACATTGACGCTCTCACAACCTATTCGCCAACAATCGTAATCTGTAGCCATGGCAATCGAAGCATACAAAAGTCCTGCTTCCTTTGCAAGTACTACCTCGGGACAAATCGTCATATTGACAAGGTCTCCACCCCACTGGCGATACATGTTACTCTCAGCACGTGAAGAATAACGTGGCCCTTCAATTGCTACTACAGTGCCGCCATCACGGACAGTGTAGCCCAATTCACTAGCGGTTGATATTAAAAGTTTGCGTGTGCGATCATTAAAAGCTGGAAACACTGGTAAATGGCACACACCACGTGGACTATTTTCACTACCATCGTAAAAGGTTTGGGCACGTTTTGTGGTGCGATCAATGAAGTCATGAGGTGCTATCAAATCACCAGGACGTATATCTTCACGCAAACTACCACAGGCTGTTGAGACTATTACGTGTGTACAGTTTAGATTACGCATAGCCCATATGTTGGCACGATAATTAACATTCGTTGGCATAATGTCATGTTTCCGTCCATGCCGCGCAAGAAGCACACATTTAACGCCGGCAATTTCTCCTTCTATTAGAGCATCGGAAGTTTCACCAAATGGCGTAGTAATATGTGTTTCTTTACGATTTTCAAGTATATCCGGATCGTCTAAGCCAGAACCTCCTATGATACCAATCTGTATACGTATGTTTATTATTATTTTACTCCGCACAAATTATTTTACATGAAAACACCAAACTATGGGAACTTACTTTTATTGGCATCGGATCCAAATTAGAATCTCCACACTTTATGCGTATCATTTTCGGTTTTCGATGATGTCACTATATAAAATTGTAGTGCAGTTAGAAAAGTAATTAATGTCGGCTATTTTATTTGTTTTACTACATGTATGTTAATAACTGCAAACTCTCTCACATGTTCATCAAATCGAACTGGAATTTTAGGGCTCAAAATGTAAAGTGCTCTCCATATGAAGCAAACCATTGCAATTGTTACGGAACTGCCAACATTAAAATCAATATCCGCCTTCAGAATTGCAATATTTATCATTCACAATTATGTTTAGCTCAAGTGGTAAGGCATGTGGCTAGTTTGCCACACAATGTTTATTTCTTACTACTAATGAATTATTTACAAACTTAATGTTAATTATTTACACGATAATGAAAAATTAATTAAAATAAAATGAGTTTTTGGTTCTTTACAAACGGTGGTTGTTAACGCGTGGCACATCGTTAAAACAAACTGCTTTATTAAAAAAGGCAGAATACTATCTACTTATTCTCCTTTTGGTTTTGTTTTTGGCACTAGATGGCGCTGGAGTCTGTGTGTCACGGATTCGCCACAGGCATATTTACATTAACGGAGGAGAGTAAGAGTATACCCTTTCAATTTTGCGCAACGGAAGCTACTGCGTTTTTAAACCTGATTTACTTACATATACAATATTATATTATTGTGTATATATATGTAGGTGCTTTCGGCAGCTTTTTAGAGTGGTAAAAAACATCAAATTGCTTATTATAGGCGCTAAGCGAGATACTAGCAGTGATGCTAATACTCTGATTTTAGTCTACGAAGTTGACCGAAATATCTGTAATATAAATAATTTTGTAAAAAATTTAATATATAACTAAAATGGCATTTACACAGGCTTCAAATGGCTCATTTTGGTCAAAAATCGAAAATAAGAAGCAAATGTGCCATTCTTGCATACAAAATTTCAAGCGCGAATCAGATCCATTGGATCATATTCTGTATAAATGCATTCCAACGAGGTTCAAATGCTTTCCAAATATCTTTCAAATGCAAAGAAATTAACCATATCTTAAATAAAAGCTTTTCATGACATTTTGGCAGTTTGAAAAAGTTTTCGGCCAATGTAAACGCCATATAAAGCTTATAAGTGATATAATACGATTTTTGTGTTATGTAGGATATGAAATTCTTTAAAAATTCCATGAAGTTTCTTCATGTTGCTATTCACTGAACACACTTGTGTTTAGATTTCAAGAGGACAACATCTGTTTTCAAAGCGCACTTTGTTTGGATGTCTATTTTTGAATGTCTATTTAATACATCCAATATATATGATAGTGTAGTTATATAAATTATGCAAATAATTTAGTATATTTTTGTTGTATTTGCACAAAATAATCATGTAAACAAAAAACATATGACCAAAAACAAATAGTTTATTGGAAAGCATTTGTTAGATTCTTTTTGTGTTAATAGAGCATTTAAAGCTTTGCTTAAGTTTTATATTAAATTAAGTGCAGATAGCCATCTACACATGATGAGCATACCTGCATAAAGTAAACAACTTTCCGCAATCTAATTTTCAATTTCTTACACATTTCACTATTGACCCACTTATTTAGTTTATATTGAAACACCATTTGACAAAATATATATTTTTTATAAATTAAAATGCACTTTTTTTAGTTCAAAATGAAACATGTCGAAATTATAATAATAATTATTTTATAAGTATTTAAAAATATGTTTGTGATTACAGGTTAATAACAAATTTAAATTTATATTTTTCACATGTTATGATTTATTAAAAACAAAGTATAAAAATATTAGTAAGAATCTAGTAACAAATAGGTCCTTAAATAAGTAACATTTTTTTAGATATTTTTTTTATAAAATATATTACATAAATTGTACAAGCATATTATTTTATTTAACAAAATCAATCAAAATATGTTTGCACAATTGTTCTAATTAAAAATGAATTTAACAAATTTTCAACATATTCTATTTTTTGTTATATTTTATATTATTTAAATTTTACATATCATATAAGCTTAGACATCTTTAAGTAAATTAACATTATTTTTACTGGGAAAGTTTCTGAACGTTTAATTATTTAAATTAGAAATTAGGAAATCATCAATTAAAATACCTACGAAAATACTATTAGATAAGCAAGGTTTCTTAAATTACTTTTTTTTAAATATTTTTTTATCACTATTATTATTATTATTAAAATACAATAGAGATATGTTTATTATTTCTTTAAAAAAATATTTTACTTATTTTTAATATAAAAATAACAAAAAACCAATAATTGTTTTAAGAGAAGCAGTCTGCGTTTACTGATCCGTTAAATATTACTTATATACTTATTTTTAATATAAAAATAACAAAAAACCAATAATTGTTTTAAGAGAAGCAGTCTGCGTTTACTGATCCGTTAAATATTACATGTATAGCCATTCTCTCGTTACATGGTAAATTGGGTAGCAGCTGGAAGACATTAAAAAATATACGTTATGATTTATTTTCATATTGATGTTGTGCCTAAGGTTATTAATAAGTTAAATTTGTTTTATACAAACACAAATGACACCACTACGCTTTCCTACAATTTTCTGACCGAGTTTAGTACGTTTAATTATTCTGAGCAACGTTTTTCTCTACGCCATATTTCGACGTTACAGCTTTTAATATACATAAATTAATTAACCACAACAACAAACACAATATTAACTTTTAAAATTAAATATTATAATATTATCTTTTTTGTTTAAATTAATAATTTAAAAATAATAAAACCCAAGATATATTTTTAAAGAACACTGATGGTCGAAATAAGCGTATGATTTGGCAAAAATTCAATTAATTAAAAATAAAAATTTTTGTTATAATTTACTACTCATTAAAATCGAAAAATAATTTATATAATTTTACCTTTGGTGTAACTAAGAAGAACTGCGGTTTATTCGGAGCGGTGGTTTCGTTAACAATCATATTAAATATTTTGCGTTCATTAGTCGAATCCATTCCTTGATTGATTTCATCTACACAACTGAAAATGCAGACCAAGATTTTAGTTTTAACACGAATTAGAAAAGAATATTATATTTACCGAAACGGAACATGAGTTAATTGTTGAAGAGCTAAAGTGTAAGTAGCAGTCGCAACAGCTCTTTCGCCTCCCGATTGCACATACTTATCAAGAACTTGAAGTGGGACGTTCTTTCTGAATTGGACATTTATTTGGATACCATACTTCTCGAAATCATACTAGAATTTTAAGAAAATATCATTACTTTAATAAAAATATCATTACGTGAAGTAAATATAACGTTGAAATAATTGTAATAAATTAAATTTGCGAGCATTTCTGCTCATAAGCAATTATATTAATGCTGTTGACAAGATTATCTTAAAAAACTATTCGAAAGCAATGAGTATTGTAGGCTTCTAATATATTTTTTTAGTAGACATAAGAATGATAGTTTATTGTTTCCTGAAAAACATCGACTTATAAAAATTATACCAATATTAATTTTGGTGAATGTGGGGTGTTTCGTTCAATATTTAAATATGAAGGACTAAATTTATTGGTAATTACTTCTCATACTTAATGCTTGCTTTTAAATTAATAGAAATACTTATTACAATATTTAGATGAAAAAAAAACCATATGAGAGACTTAATTTTGTAACAATTTTAACTTTATGTCTGATAAATGCGTCAAGCCAGAGCTTTTCCGTGTTAAGTCATTAAATTCAATACATTTTTTCATTCCATTAGATATTTGTGCGATTAGATTTCCTTAGAAACATCGTCAAATTTTATTAAAAATCGATATCTGCAAGTCATGATGAAAAAGCACTTTAAAAGGTTCTTTTTAGAACGCATACAGAGTACGCATGGTGCTGATAAACGGTATTGAAACATGATATCGATGCATGGGCCTTATACATAATATGTTGATAGGAAATAGGAATAAACAGAGTACCAGCTCCAAACGGAGCGGAGCACTGCGACCATGGTTGATGTGTTGTGCTGCAACAGACCCTAACCTAACAGAAGATATTCCGTCTTCCGAATGAAAGCCAGAATGTTGGACGTTGAGCACCTCCGAATGTCAGAAGGGGAGAGTAGTTCACGACACAGTAGCCTCTTCCTGACGTAGATCAAAGCTGGACAGTCACAGCGAATGTGACTGGAAGTCTAGTCTTCTTCTAGGCAGACTTGACAATCTATCTCTTCGGACAGAATTATTTTGTTAAGGTGATAACGCAGTTCATGGTGACCCATTAAATATTGCACCAACAACCTCAACTCTGTTCTGCTGAAGAAGGATACGTTACTTTAACTGTAGTGATGAACAAGCTCTTTAGCCTGACGGTTACCTTGAAAGTCGCGCCAGCAACGATAATCCCTATATATTTTGTTTAAAAGTGTATGAAATATGATTTATTTCCATCGTTTTACCTAAATTTGAGGGATTAAAGTCATATAAATGAATTTACATGTCAAGATATATGATATAGGTGCGCGACTAATTAATTCAACGGCGTCAGAAACTGAATACTGAATTTTGTCAGGTAGAGTAAAAATGAAGGATTATGTTAACAAAAAAATTACATGCTTCAAGGGATGTCTTCTGCATTGCTGTACTAAATAATGAAGCATACCAGGTATAATAAAAATTAAAAACAATGATAAAAAAGGAAGACTTCAAGAATTGTCACCTGAATTAAAACCTAAATTTTTTTTATATTTAATTAAATTACTTAAATCAAAAATATATAATAAGAAATAAACAAGGTAATTACTTACATCGTCTACTTTATATAAAATTACTTCACCAACGTATTTCATTTCAGCCATAAACTCGCTAAAACTTTTATTAATCGCGTCAATAACATTATTAACTATTGGAAACCATTTATCATATATTCTTTTAATTTCAGATTCTCCATTTTCTACACTGTTATCCAATGTTTTGATCTTTTCAGTCAATTCTTTCACTTCCAAATCTTTACTTTCGTGCTCTCTTATAACCTAAATAAATGTTTAAAGTAAATATATTTGTTATTGGGAATTTATGGTAAGTAATACTTCTGGATCTATTTCCTCCATGCATTCTAGACGTGCAAGTAATTCATTTTTAATATCATTCACTTCATCCAACGAAGTGGGCAATTCTTCAAAATATGGATTATTCGCATTATATTTCTTCTTTAAGTGTAGAATTTTTCTTTGTATCTCCTCCAGAACACTTTTTTGCTTTTCAATCTGTGCAGTTATTTTCGCCACCACTGCCTAAAAATATATTTATAAAATCGAAATAAGTTAATAATGGAATATCATTCATATTTTATTTAACTAAAAATTCAAACTGCTATGTAATTAAGATTTAGTGTCAGTAGAATGAGATTACACTATATAAACCTGTTTCAATATTATACGTTATGCATTACTTTCTAATTGCCGGAGCAACAAAAAGGTTACATTAGTATTCCGTACTAATCCGGTGCGTTCTTAGCATTACATAAAGATGAAGAAATACGAGAGTACTAGTGCAATTCTTCGGTTTAATCGAAGAATTTTTGTGAAAATTGTGTGCTCTACGACAGAACGAGGAAGATTGTTGATTATAACTTATAAGACTTATAAGGTGATCTACAAATAATTTTCTTATTGTATACATTAATTCTTCATTTAATTCTTAATTTTACAAAAAAAAAATGGTTCTATATATTCTATACAAAATTAATTGTATAGAATGTGAATACCTGTTTAAGTGTATACTTTGCCGATATGTTCGAGCCGAGAGAAAATTTTTCCAAACATCACATTTTGATGTTTCACTGGTCCACTAATTTTTTTTAATAATAAAGGGATCTGCCTCTGCGAGCTTCGCTCTCCAAACCCTGGTATTTTCATATATGCTCTTTCATATTTAACAATGGCTGCGTTTCAGCAAACATGATCCGCTCAATTTTACATGCAAAACAAAAACAATGGGGTGAACCAGCAGTTGATCTGGTTCACTTTCTGATTCAATGTGGAATGTATGTAAAAGATAAAAGTGGAACGTATTTTAATGCAAATGAGGTTGACAATGCGATGCAACGGTGTAGTAAAATTATAAACAAATCTACATCTATAATCTATATTTATTTATTATTGATTTTATTTATTTTATTTACTTATTTATTTAATATGTCATTATTATTTATTTCTTTGTTTGAAGTAATGTTTTAATTATTACTATTACTATAAATTAAAATTATTAAAATTAATTAAAATTATTACTTTAATTATTTACGTATTATTATTATTAAAAAAGTGTTGTTTGATAATTTATGAAAATCAATTAATTTGAAATGAATATATAAACATTAAGTTGAATACATTTATTTAATTAAAACAGGACAATACATAAGGAAACAGGCTCTCCAACATACACATTTATAAAAAAAAACATTGCAAACTGCTTGCAAGTTTAAGCTATATTCATGCTTTCTTTTGAAATAAGCCTAATTGCTATGGTGAGGTGCATTTATTTTAACATGTGTGCTGTCAATAATGAACGGAAATTTTGCAATTGATATAAGCTAAACACTAGTTCTTTTAATTATTCTCCATA